GCTAACCCCCCTTCCTGACTCATCTTTACCCTGCTGTCTTATGGCTCAATTTTCTTTCTGGTTTAGAAGCTTCACATCCTATTCATGAGATCATTTTTCACATTCAGTTCTTTGTGAATCAAATTCCTTATGAAGACGTGCAGATGTAATGTAGGATATAAGGGATTTGCTGCTCTTACTGTTCATGTGGCCACTGCAGCACTAAGAGAGTTTTCAGGACCCACAAGACTTAGTTGACCTGGTCATTCATCTTGGATCAGGAATGTGCTCCTAGTTCTCTCAAAGCACAACATATGTCAATAAACATTGATACGGTGCTGGTGGGAAATGAAGCAAAAACTGGGCTTAAAATACCAGTCTAGAGCCCAGCCTTGCCAAAAGAAGTTACTTATGTCCTAAGTTTAATAACTGGAGCTGAAATAGCAATGTTGGTCATATATTCATTTTTACCTCATCAAGTAGTTGACGATGTCTGGCTATAGTGCTGCTTTACAGGTTCTGAGCTGGACAATACTGATGTGCTTTAAACCTCATGGATGTGAGAAAAAGGCTGCTGGTACTGCCTGCTGACCTGTACTGAACTGTGTTTTCCGGCACACAGTATTTAACACTGCATGCTCTAATCCAGGCTTAATGTGGAAGAGTCCATTAGATGAATCGTGCCAATGCTTGATGCACCAGAAGCAGTAAAGCATTTTGTGTGATTAGATCTTAACCCAGTAGTGGCCTGTGGTTCCTCTTCTTGCCTTTCCTGCATGTTTAGTGTGTGGAGCAGTCAGCAGCACGTGGGCAGGAGCCATCGTCAGGTGGGAATTGCTATGAAAAGGGACAATGTGCACAGCAAGGAACCTGGCCATCCCGTTGCAAAGGAAAACAGGGATGCCTTGTGCTGTCTGCAAGTACCAGGGCAGGGTTGGTGATCTGTAAGAGACCTTGATGGTACCTGCACACAGAGTCAGTAGGAGCTTGTCCATGGGCCGGGCTGTAGCAGATAATTACAAATAATTCCAAAATAACTTAGAAACTCAAAGCACTTCTTCTGTAACTGATCTTAAATACAGTTTTCAAAAGATGCTTGGCTTCACTGATGCTGTATTTTTGTAGGGCTGGCATTAAGCTTGTGATGTTTGGAAATAAAAATTATCTGTAAGTGGCACTTCTAGAAACACTAAGCAGCTGCAGTCTATGCTGGCCACTGTTAAAGCTGCTCATGCTCCCCATTACCCTTAAATCAGATCAGTTGTGATGCTGGTGGCTTTCCAGGAATTGTGTGCACTTCCCCAGGAAGTTTTCTATAGTGGGCAGGTAGGATGGATTCACCATTCCTACCGTTGCTGCCTGAAAACCGGGGTTCTGGGTTTTGTCAGCTTGAGAGGAGTGTAGGAAATCCGTGTCAGACTACTCAAGTGTCATTTACAGCTACAAGTACTGAATTTCTAGACAGCTGAAGCTAGGAGGGAGTCCTGCCTATGTTAGTCCCGCTGGCCACCCTTTGCTGATCCAGGCTAGGATGCTCTTGGCCACATGGGGTTAACTCAATCAGTGAATAATTCAGTAGAAATACTAGGTTTGTAGTTTCACTCAGATGACACAGGATCTAGTGAGGCTCTTATTTTTCTGGCATGCATAGCAAAATCTGTGGCTTCACCTTACTGAAATAAAAGAAAGGTTACAAATCTGAAGTGCAGTCATTTTTGAGGATCCATGGGAGCAAGGCAGTAAAATAGGAAACAAAGTGACCATGCTGGTAGAAATCTTAAAATATATGCCATGGTGTAACTTGGACGTTGAAGTTCTTGTGCAGTAGCTGTAAATGCCTGTAAAGGCTTGGATCTTCTGCCAGGCTGGACTATTGAGAGGAGTTTATTATTTTTCTAGGGACTATAAGTGTGACTAATTATAAACTGGAGAAGGAGGGGACGGCTGGTGGCAGCCTTTCTGGCTATTGACTAGGTTCAGTGATGTCAAAGAGCCATGACAAGCAGTTGGCTAAAATCAGAACACCAAAACAGAGTTATTTCTCTCCAATTTAAGCTCAGCTAGAGGAGTCAAGCCCATGGTGAATGCAGTAACTGTTGGGTACTTGCAGGGGAGGGGACTGAGCTGCACATTTAGTCCTCCTAAATTTGTCTGGCTGTAATGGAGCTGCCTGAAAACTCTGCCACTCTCTAGTATGTAGCAGCCTGGCTGAACTTAACAGAAATGAGCTGATTCGCCTTACATCAGTGAGGTTGTAGGGAGGAAACCATTCTGGGAGCTCTATTTAGAAAATAAGTTTATTGCTGAATTTGGTCTTTTTGTTTTTTAACATGTTTAGAATCAGGCTTTCAATGGGGAAAAAAAAATGACCTGTGATTGTGGCTGTTGCTGCATCTTTGCAAGCAGTCTTGCAGCTTGTCTTGGAACTTTTTGGCTTGCTTAACCCACACAGAAACTCAAATAGCATTCAGTGAGAGCAGAGTGGGCTTACGTAACTTCCCATGCTTCCTCTGGCAGAAGAGATGTGGAGTAATTCTCTCAGACCTGTTTGTAATGGCCTGGAAAAGCATCTGGTTTCACTTTCAAATTCCGGATGATCTCACCACAGGGACTGAAAGTGGTGCTCTTTTTGTTTGGAAAAAATCCCAGCCTGTAATGTGAGGTTTCATGTTTTGGTGTCTTTTGGCTCTGAAATCAGGTTTGTGGAGAAGCTTCACTTGGCTTTATGCTCCAGTACAGCATCTCAATGTGCTAAACAATTACAGGCTAGTTAGAAATAGCTTATCAACACATAATGTGACTGCTTTCCCTAAATATGTGATGGATTACAGTGTCTTAGCTGTATCCGTGTGGGAAGAAAAGATTTCTCTAATTTCTCCAGTTGCATTTTCTAGCCCTAGAGCTCAAGAGCATCCTTCATGTGACACAACACCACATGATAATTGTTGTAGGCAGGCAGTCTCTTCTACTAAAGACTTGTGTCTGTACAACAGGATTTAGAAGTTTGGAACAGTCTTCCAGGCTCCACAGCTTCTGCCTGAGTCTGTATCACATACAGGGACCATAACTGGTGCTCCAGGCTGAGCTTTGGGAGTGGCTTTCTTGAGAGAAAACCCTCAGGGTTAGACAGTTTGAGAGCAGAGGGTTTTTACTGAGGGAAATGAGACCTGCACTCCTTGACCATCTATGTGGGATATAAGCATGTCAGTTCTGGTACTCTGCTGGCACAATGCTCTTTGTTTCGTTCTCATGGAAACTATACCTGCATAGAAGACAGATTCTGCTAAGAAAACTTGTTGGTAGCTCAATCCTGAGTTTTGTTGTCTCTTACATTTTTAATCTCAGTCCTTGGACTGTTTTATGTCTTAGATCTCAGGAAACTGCATGTTAGCACAGGAATGGGCTTTCTTGGGAAAACCCCAGTAGTCCCAATGAGTCTGCAGCTACATGACGCAATAACTTGAGCTGGAGTGGATGTGCTCTGCCCTGGGTAAATCTCTACTCTGCTCCCAGTGTAGGGTGGCTTGTTGTAGGCATGTCCTTGCTGCAGCAGTCACTCTGTTCTGCAGTGGTGTGGTGACAAGAGGCATTTGCTCACTGCTCTTGGAGTGATGCCATTCCTGCAACTGACCTTAAACCGTGGGCTGGGATTTGAGCGGATCATAAACCTCTAGGTTGTGAGTGTGCTGTGGCAAATGACTGCGGGGTGAGGACAGTGCTGCTGCAACATACCCACATACAGTCACTATCATGGGCAGGCATGTACAGACCATACAGCCACGGGAGCTGATGAGTTTCTTACATAAAGGTGAACAGAAAGCCTTCTTTTCTTGGCTGCCTGGCACTCTGACCCCATAAAATTTGGGTTGCAAGGCAAAGGTGTATGCAGATAAGTAAAACCATAGCCAGGTACTTCACAGCTCAGTAATCCATTTCTTTGGTTGTCTGCTTCTGTTTCTGGGAATAAAACTTTGTCTTGTTGAACAAGCCCAGCACCCTGTGCCCAAGTGGCACGGTTAGGTACTTAAGTGGAAGGGGATGGCCTGGAATTCTGCTCTCACAATCTTCCTTCTGGGATCTCTTCTCGTGTTCAGTTGCACATGAGCCTGGCTGTGGAACAGGGGCCAGGAGAAGCTTCTCTGGGGATCCCACACTGGGTTGGTGGTGGGACTTAGTTGGCAGATTGAACAGTTCCCAGGGAAGGGTTTGTGCTCTACAGCGCAGCAAGTCCCCTTTTTAGAGAGGAGTATTTTGGGCACTTGTTCAGTCCAGATTCAGACTTCTGTGAATGGCAGGACAGAGAAGTTAATATCCAGAGCTGGGATCTCTGCAGCCTTCCCTCAGCTTACTCAGCTCAGAGTTGTGCCCCACAGCTGGTTGCTGACCTTTGGAAGGAAATTGCCCATCAATATTCAGTTCATCAAGTTGCACTAATTTGTTAAACAGATATAGATAGTATTGAGACTTAAAAAATGCCTGTGGTGGCAAACCATAATATTAGGAACACAGGTAGGTGGACCAGCTTAACTTTGGCACAAGAAAGGCAAAAAAACTTTGGTTATGTAACAAACTTTTTTCCTCATGGAAAGAATAATTTTAAATATTTGCACAGGCCAATGTAGAACAGGTCTATTCAACTCAGCAAACATTTCTTTTAACCTGCTTTTAAACCCAGTAGTATCTTGAGTTATAGCTTTTCCAATATATTTTGTCCTGTTTAACAACAGTTGTTGAATAGTGTTTCTTGAATTAGGAAGTGGTAAATGCCTTTTTTTGGCTTGTTTTCTGAGCGTTACCAGCCTGGGTGTTTAGATTTTTCTTTTTCAGTTAGCATTTTGCTCATAAGAACCTGTGTAGGGTTATAAACCAGTGTCCATGTGTGTCCCCCCCGCCCCCGTATAAAATGAACAATTTAGTAACCCTAATGATATGGGGGTTTTTTCCAATCTTTTCACTGTAATGGTTGCTTGTTGCTCTTTTTTGTTCTGTTTCATAACTAAAATATTTTTCTTTTTTTTCAGGCTCACATTAAATTTCCTATCGACTATCCATATTCACCACCTACCTTCAGATTCCTGACCAAAATGTGGCACCCCAACATTTATGAGGTAAGGTGTTTTTTAAAAAACTCTTTCTCAGGCACGTGAGAAGGCTTTCTGCTTCCTGAATCTTAAACTCAGTACCTGTGTGTGTCACATTCAGAGGGTAGTCAAGGCTGTGGACTGTCAATATTTGGGTCATGGTACAACCACATAGCAGGTCCAGAAGGGGAGTGGTTCTGTTCAGAGGCAATTGGTTCAATATTAATACCCAGTTTGGTAGAGCTGTATTTGAAAGCTGGAGCCCTGTTCTGGTTCAAAACTGGACTTTTAGTGGAGGTCACTCAAATCCTTGCTGAACTTTTGGATATCCTAGACAAGTGTCAGTCTGCCAGGAACACTGGTCGAATAGTTGGAGGAGCTGGAGTCCTTTCAAAAATGTTCCTGTTGGTGCAGATCTGTAACCCTATCACAGGTCTCCCTGTGAAAGGTTCTGCAGGCTTCCTTTGGACCCACTTGAAAAGAGGAATGTCACTTCTCTTCCTTCCCCTGAACAAACGATGGCTTCACTTGATGCCTTGGGCTTGGAAAGCCCTTTTCTGACCATTTCTTGCTACCAAATACCCAGTTTGGAATGGGTGTGCTTCCAGTATCATGGTGATAACAGCACTGATGGCATAGTAAAAAATGGCTAAAAGCCTTGCCAAACTTCAGTGCAGAACAGGATAGTAATCAGCTTTAATTGTTGACTGCTCATGGGGATTACCCTAAGCCCAGGGACATCCTCAGATGAGTTTTCTTACTTGGGCTTTGTACTTGGCACAGAATCTTGCATGTAGCCAAGGATGGTGGTTTTCTGTGAGGCTCTATTCCAGTTCCATGGGAGTTCGATCGGTAAATAAGGAGACCTGCAGATTATTGCAGACCCGTACTGTGGGTATTGATTCTGAATCCAGAAATCCTCCTGCAGGAGGCAAGTGGGAAATGGTTACCAAAATGACATGTACAAAGGGAGTCTTGGAGAGGACCTCTCCCAGTCCTGGTGGGAAAGATGAAAAATTGACTCTAGAAACTCTAGAAACAACTGAAGGTAGGAGGAGAAACTAACCCTAAACTTGATGGGTGTATTTTGGGTTTACCCTTGAAATACTCCAGCTCTCAGCTTTGTACTTTGTGTTTGTAGCAGTATTTCTTGCAGCTGAGGGAATCTGAAGCAGCTTGCATGCTGTTTTGGAAACAACAGTTAAGCAATGAAGATGAGGCGCTATGATAACTCCAAATGAAACTGAGACTAACTCAGCAAAGTGCTTGAGGTTTGAGGGTTTGTCAGGAGGAGGGAAAAAAAGAAAGCCTTTTAGTGCAAGGAAGATGAAAGAAAACAGCAGTTTACAGAATCTGCTGGTGGGACCAGATTGGAGAGGTTGGGGCTGATGTTCCAGTTCTGAGCAGTGAGACTTGAGTAAGGTGTATTTTTCCCATCTCTACTTTACTTGGGTCATCTAGTTGAATTTTGGTAAAACTGCATTCACTTGTTTGTTGTTTTTATGACACAAGAGTTCTCAGTCCTAGATAGAATTGTGGCTATTTCCCGTTGGCAGATGAATACCTTATCCTCCTTGTTTGTATCTTTCAAATATGTGTGTAGGGAAAGGCTCACCCCTTTCCTACCCTGATCCCAAAACCTTGTGCTGATCTCACCAGGCCCCCTTACACCTTTACCCTTCCAGACTCTAATGCAGTGCAATTTGCAAACACATAACACTGATCATTGCAAGAGGGAAACTTCTCATATTCTTGCTTCCCTCTGTTATCTTCATATTGCCAAATATCTGCTTGTCCACGTGCTGCTCACCTGATTGCTTCAGGAACTTCTCCCAAGTGCTGTGATGCCTTCTCTGAGCCACCAGCATTGTGTTCTCCCAGGAAGTGGTTAAAGGAAAAACTAAACAAAATTATTAAAAAAACTGTAATGGATTTGGAACATAAATTAACGTTAGTAAATTAACTTCACCTTAAAATGATAGTAAAAAAATTCCAAGGTTGCACAAGCCTGTTGGAGTCCTAAAAAGGAGACTGCCTTCTTACGGCAAACTGTTCCAGCAACATAAGTATGTGCTGTGGTATTCAGCAGCTCCAGGTGCTGCTTTGCTGTGTTCTTCACTAAAACCTGCTTCAAAGTGACAAGGGCTGGCTAGATTAGCAAACCTGGCAGGGTTAGTGCGCCACTGAAATCTGGATCCTGATCACAACCCTCCAATGCTGATGGAGGATCTTGTTTGGCTATGAAACAAAAGTAATTGTTAATCAAGGTGAGTTGAAATGTCTGCGAGGCCCTTCAGGTGAGCTGCTGCAATCTGTGGCTGCGATCACTGGCTTGGGCTCAAAGGCACAGATGCTGTTGCTGTGAGCAGCCCTGCTCTGTGCTCCAGCAGTGCTGGAAGGGCCTGAGGCCAGGTGTGTGGGGAGCTGCCAGCCTGGAGTCCTAAATGGGACTGATCCTGCCATCAACCTGTGCCTCGGATTGGGGTGCCTGGGGGCGGCGTGAGTGCTGCCCCTCAGCTCAGGCTGTGCCTCCTGAAGGTGTGGGGCTGCCTCCAGGAACTTGTATGTCACCCCAGCAGCAAGGGAGAACAAGCCAGTGGGGCCTGGGGAGGCCAATATCTGCTGGCTGGCCTTAGGACTCATCTGCACCTTTACCCCATCCTGCAGTAAAGCACTGGGACCCCATGAGTCCCTGGAGCCCTTTAGTGGAGGATATGGGATGTGGTGGATAATGCCAAAGCACTCCTACAAAGTAATTGTGTCAGAGGGCTGTTGCTGATGGAGAATTGGGTTTACAGGCTTCCTCAAATGTTTATAAATGGTAGGCATTATGGAGCTTTAAATCTATATTCAGGCCATAACAGTGGTGAGTAGAACACATAATGGGGATTACGTGGCTCTATGGCTTCCATATGCTTCCAGAATATCTCACGTGCTGGAAGGGATTTTCAGTGAAACCTTCAGAGAGCATCTCCTGCTCTTTCACCTGATATTTTGAACAGCTGTGTCCTAGGGGAGCAGTGTAAGCCTGCCCCACACCATCTGTTCAACATCCTTGTGTCCTGGGAGAACAAATGTTTTCATACCTGAGCTAGTAGAGAGTGATAAACCCTTCAATTCAAAAATTCCTGTAGCTAACTCAGCTACCACTGGGAACACCAGATTTTTTTAACCCTACTTTGGGTCTCCTGTGACTAAAGCTTATTTCTATCACTGTGACAGTACTTGCTATCTGGAGACCAATTTAGTTTTATACTGTCTTATTACTGGTTTTGCTTGCTTTGCTACATTCTTTAAACCTGACTGTCTCTGACTTTAGATTGGGTTTTTTGCCAATTTGCGGACTAACCCTTGTGTATAAATAAAGTAGATCCAGCATGAATGGAGAACCACTTCCAGTTCTTGCCAGTTTGGGTTTGTTGTTGTTTTTTTTTTTTTTTTCCTGAGTGTTCATATCAACAAGGTTAGACTGCTCAGGAGGTAGCCAGAGTGATGGAGTTGAATCATCAGACTTCAGCCTCAAGCCAGGCTATTCTCAGTGCTTTTTTCTGTCTTGCAGAATGGAGATGTATGTATTTCAATTCTTCACCCACCTGTAGATGACCCACAAAGTGGAGAGCTGCCATCTGAGAGGTGGAACCCTACCCAAAATGTCAGGTAACTGTGAATGTGATGTGCAACACTGACTTCAAAGGCCTGTTGTCTCTACAAGACTAAGGTCTAGGTTGGGAGAGGCTTAGAAGGGAATTTAAGGCTTTGGGGTTTTAAGGCTTGAATCAAGTGGAAACCAGACTTACCAAGCTGTCTGAAGGTGCTGAAGGTGCGCTGTGTCCTCATACTGGGCTGACAGTGTGGAGCTTTCTGTCCTGTTCACAGGGTTTCATGCTCTTAAGGCAAATTATTTCAAATGTTCTAGCCTTTCCCAGTCATTGTTATCTTCTTCAGGATACCACTAATGGAAAAGTACATTTTTGAGTATTTAGGCCCAGTAGAAACCTTTTGTTTGCCTTCTGTTGTTTGTCTGTCTCCTGTCCCGCTGCATGGTATCTTGAGCAGTTAGTTGGGTAGTTTTCTTCCTGCCAAAAGAACAAAGGATCACTGAGTACCAGAGGCATTTGTTTGCCAGAGATGACCAGGGTTGAAGTTTTTGAGGGGGAAAAATGTCATTCTTCAACTTTGAGAGCACTTGCGCTTCCACCTCTAAGAGTGTCAAGCAGGCTCATTGTTTTTTTTAAACACAGTCAAGTATGGACTTTCCCATCACTGGGAGATAGGTGAGGCAGGCATGAGTAAATATAAATACAGCAAACACCCAGCAAGATGTTAAGGAATGCAGCTGTAATCTGTGTGGCAGAGAAAACTGCTCCCTGTGTCCCGTGGAGCTGAGGGAGTGGTGTCAGGGCTTACAGTTGAGGCTTTTTGGTAATTCTGTTTGCCCTTCTCCATCTCCCCTGTCTCTTCCCTGTCCTTGAGCTGCACAGGCCAGAACTCAGCACAGCATGTGAGAAGTTGGTACATCTGTATCTCGTGCAGATACATGATGTCCTGTCTCACTATTGCTTTGTTTCCCAAGGATTCCCATTTTTCTTGGCTTTTTTGGCCGCCTGAGGGGGAAGACTCTGCAAAATGCTCAATGCACTAACATAACCATCAGTACAACATAAGCCAAAACTTTTAACTTAGAGTGGAGAGCAAAAATGTGCAAGGACAAATCTATGCCCACCTCTAAAGGTGGCTCTGAGAGGCTACAATGTGGATAGCAGCTGGAACAAAAAAAAAAAATCCTTTTTTAACAAGGAGCACCAGCCAATCTACCTCATGTCTGTTTGGGATGAAATCCGTCTGTCTCCGAGCCTTTGGTTGATATGTGGAGAGGAAAAGGCCCTTAACAGATCTGTTTCCTTGAGCCTGTGCTGGCTGCTCTTCCCTAGTAGTAAAGCGATGTATATAGTCTCCTCTGAAGACAGCAGCACTGTAAACTCTGTAAAACACTTCAGTGTTGCCCAGAATGGGGTGGGGGATGTAAGGAAGCAGAACCAGCCTTGAAATCACCAGTTTTTACTCTGTCTGCTTGCATGAAACAACACGATAGAATGTGATCCCTGGCATCATCCCAGAGCCTCAGCCTGTGTCCAGTCCCTGCAGTTTGTACCTGATGCTGAGGTTTTCAGTCCCACGTGGTTGAACTTTTTTAATGGTTTTGTCCTGTCAGACTCCCTGTGCTGGGATGCCTTTCTGTTACTGTACTTTATTCCCCTTGCTTATCCACAGCAGCCGGGTTTGAGTTGGACAAGACTGTCCAATCTCTAGGACGTCAACAGCGATGGTGCTGATCTGATGTGCTGGTTGGGAATGTGGAGCTCAGAGAGCTTCACCCTAATGCAGTTGCCTTGCTGTATTTAAGTGGCTTTGCAGTGACTTTGGAGTCTGGTGGGCACTGCAGTGGAAATGTTGGCTTCTCCTCACTGTTGATGGAAGTGTGGGAGAGCAGATGCTAAATCCAGACATGAATTCTTGTCCCTGGCCTTCCGTCAACTTTGCTCTACAGTAAAGCTGCTGCACGATGCTGGAGCTGACATGGTGGCTTTGCAGCCTCTTTGCTGATAATCAAAGGCTTTTAAATGAATTCTTGAGATGAAGTAGAAGATGATCTCTTCTGCCCATCGTTCCAGTCTGACCAAACGGGTTTTTTCCAGAGCTGCAGATCTCTTTTCCTACAGAGTTACATAATTTGGAAAATAAATTGTATAAGACTCTTCTGATAGCCGTGCTAGTCTGGTCAGACACAAGTGTTTAGTTTCAAAACCTTTCAAGAAAATCAACAATGAATGAGAAAAAGAAAATGAAAAAGAATGAGAAAAAGAAAATGACCAAGCATTTCCTGGAATTGCGTCCCAGATACATGATCTGGTAGATGCACTCAGCACGTGCTGCTCTGAGCATGCCCCTGAATCAGTGCAAATACAGCTGTGGCTCCAAGTCTCCTTTAACCAAGTTCTGCAAAGGGGCTGTTGTGTACTGCTGTGTTTCAGGACTTTCTCCTTGTCTCTTGTTCTTCCCTGCCCTTGGACGGGAAGCTGTTGCTGGCAGGACCACTGGGACAGGTGGAGCTGTTGCGGTGTCCGGGTTTGCGGAGCTGCCTGACGGGGCTCACTGTTGATGTTTGTGCTGGTTGTGGCACAAGGGCTGAAGTGCAGAGGGTTGTAGGAACTACAGGAGAAGGATCTGGGCAAGGGGGTGGTGTTTGCCCCTGGTAAACGCCAGCAGAGCAGGGCAGCTGGCGAGATCTGGGTTGCTGCTGGAGATCCAGGAAGGCTGTCTGCCTGCCGGGGTTACGTGACTGGCTCATGATGGCTTTGCTGAGCACCAGCAGCTGAATCCCTCTGGGCCTTGGCAGCTGGCCTAGGTGTTGAAAAACATCTGCACTGCCTTCCCCTTGCTGTGCTCAAGTGCTGCTGCTGCAGCTTTTTTAGTGATGCATCAGCTGAGGAGAGAAGAGACCTGCCCACGGTCTCATCCTCTTACCACCCAGTGGGGCGGGGACAAAGCAGTGCAACCTTTTCTGATGGCCTTGGATCCTAATGGTCCTTCTCCCTGTGCAGGGCAGGCAAACAGCCTGGCTTCCTGCTGGGAGGCTGCATGCCAGCAGGAACAGGCTCACTGAGCAGGTTTCCAGCCCCACACCATCTGTGGGTGGTGTGGACAAGCTGAATTCTGCTCTGGTTGCAGCTTTGCCTGCTGTCCTGTCACAAGCACGTGCACAGACACATTGAACTGCAGCCTCATGAGGTTTATTTTGTGTCACCTTTCCTCATGGATGGCCAGGGTGTGAGGTTCATAAATACTTGCTCTCACTTAAAATATTATCCTCAGCTTAAGACTTGACTTCAAACAAGTTTTTGATGCGTCATCCAGAGAAGTCATCGGCATCCAGAATCCATGAGTGCGTTAGCTCTGACTCTGCTGTTGTGGTTACCTCTTTCAGGACTATCTTACTGAGTGTAATCTCTTTGCTTAATGAGCCCAACACATTCTCCCCAGCCAACGTGGATGCATCAGTCATGTTCAGGAAATGGAGGGACAGTAAAGGAAAAGACAAGGAGTACGCCGAAATCATAAGGTAAGCTTTTCCATGTGGGATGCTATGCTACCAGCCTCCTGTGTTGAATCCTGTGAAACAGGGTGCTTCCAGAATTTGCTGAAACCGGTTTCTTGCAGCAGTTGTTTCTTTGGAAATGAATTTTATCATCTTATTCCAAGTCCATGCATCTGGTTCCTCCAGAGTTTTCAGTGCACAGAAGCAGTGCAAACTTCTGGAGCAGGAGGACTGGGCTAATATGTCTTTAAACGGTCCTTTTTTCAGACTAATCTGTAATGATGCTCTGCAAAACCTCTTGGCTACTAGTAAATCCCAGTCAGAGTCCCTGCTTGCCTTTTGAGCCCTGCATCGCTTGGGATGTGGTGGAAACTGATTGCATCCTACTAATTCCTGTGCTTAATGCATGCATGAATCATAATCATGTCCCTCCAATTCAAAGGACTATCAGTGGGATTTGGCAAGGCCTTGCAAAGCTGGGTTTGATTAGCTGGAAGCACTGCTCAGTGCTGCCCTTTTAGAAGTTCATGGTTCATCAGGAGCCACAGGGAGATGATGTGAGTGTGAGCCAGGGCTGCTGCAGAGCCTGGAGAGGGACTGCTGGCTGAGGCCACATCTGTGCTAGCTGTGCCAACAGGATGTGCCCCTTTTGGAGCTGGCAGGGCAGTGTATCTGTGCAGAGAGCCGAGCTGGGAGGTTCAGTCCTCCAGCTCCCTCAGCATTAGCAGAGCTGGATGTACTCCATACACATGGAACGGCAGACTGAGGAGCAGGCGGGTGGGTGAGGGGACGAGGCTGCCATCTGCTCATCCCTGCTGGGAGGCAGCAGCCAGAGCCTGTCCTGGGGGGATGGGAAACACTTGGCTTCTGCCAGCCCCAGGCAGCACTGGGGTTACAGCTGTGCCTTGGGGTGCAGCCACACATTCCGACTGCTCTGGAGCTCAGAGCTGCCAAAGCAATTGTGGGAATTGCAGTTTTGAGCACACAGGGGTAGAGCTGTCAGGGTAGAGTCAATAAATCATCGTAGGAAATCCCTGACCATCCCTCCTGTAGCAAATGGAATTTGCTCTGAGCTCTGGCAGATCTCTTATGTAGAGTCCTGTGAAATAACAGATTTCATATGTTGCTGCAAACACCCTTGGCATGTTCCCAAGGCTGGGACTGCAGGAACTAAATCTGTTTCCAGTGCTGTTTGTGGTGCTTTATCCAAACCTCCGTTCTCCTGACTCTGAGCTGCCAGGAGGGCTGGGCTGGGGCTGGCCGGGAGGTGCTGCTGGCACATGGCCCTGCTCACGTTCCTGCTGTGTCCTTCTCCCCACAGGAAACAGGTTTTGGCTACCAAAGCTGAGGCAGAGAAGGATGGCGTGAAGGTCCCCACTACACTGGCAGAGTACTGCATCAAAACTAAAGTGCCTTCCAATGACAACAGTTCAGATTTGCTTTACGACGACTTGTATGATGATGATATTGACGACGAGGACGAGGAGGAGGAGGACGCCGACTGTTACGATGATGATGATTCTGGCAATGAGGAGTCGTGACCTGCTCCCTCTATGCCCCTGTACTGCCCTGCCGACTCAGGCCAGAAGGGAGC